AAGATTATCTATGGGGTTGAGATCTGGAGACTGGCTAGGCCACTCCAGGACCTTGAAATGCTTCTTACGAAGCCACTCCTTCGTTGCCCGGGCGGTGTGTTTGGGATCATTGTCATGCTGAAAGACCCAGCCACGTTTCATCTTCAATGCCCTTGCTGATGGAAGGAGGTTTTCACTCAAAATCTCACGATACATGGCCCCATTCATTCTTTCCTTTACACAGATCAGTCGTCCTGGTCCCTTTGTAGAAAAACAGCCCCAAAGCATGATGTTTCCACCCCCATGCTTCACAGTAGGTATGGTGTTCTTTGGTGTCCTCCAAACACGACGAGTTGAGTTTTTACCAAAAAGTTATATTTTGGTTTCATCTGACCATATGACATTCTCCTAATCCTCTTCTGGATCATCCAAATGCACTCTAGCAAACTTCAGACGGGCCTGGACATGTACTGGCTTAAGCAGGGGGACACGTCTGGCACTGCAGGATTTGAGTCCCTGGCGGCGTAGTGTGTTACTGATGGTAGGCTTTGTTACTTTGGTCCCAGCTCTCTGCAGGTCATTCACTAGGTCCCCCCGTGTGGTTCTGGGATTTTTGCTCACCGTTCTTGTGATCATTTTGACCCCACGGGGTGAGATCTTGCGTGGAGCCCCAGATCGAGGGAGATTATCAGTGGTCTTGTATGTCTTCCATTTCCTAATAATTGCTCCCACAGTTGATTTCTTCAAACCAAGCTGCTTACCTATTGCAGATTCAGTCTTCCCAGCCTGGTGCAGGTCTACAATGTTGTTTCTGGTGTCCTTTGACAGCTCTTTGGTCTTGGCCATAGTGGAGTTTGGAGTGTGACTGTTTGAGGTTGTGGACAGGTGTCTTTTATACTGATAACAAGTTCAAACAGGTGCCATTAATACAGGTAACGAGTGGAGGACAGAGGAGCCTCTTAAAGAAGAAGTTACATGTCTGTGAGAGCCAGAAATCTTGCTTGTTTGTAGGTGACCAAATACTTATTTTCCACCATAATTTGCAAATAAATTCATAAAAAATCCTACAATGTGATTTTCTGGATTTTTTTTCCTCAAATTGTCTGTCATAGTTGACGTGTACCTATGATGAAAATTACAGGCCTCTCTCATCTTTTTAAGTGGGAGAACTTGCACAATTGGTGGCTGACTAAATACTTTTTTCCCCCCACTGTATATAAAAGAGAAAAATGTGGAATTTCCAATTCATTACATGAATTGAGGTTATCTCTGATTGCAGCAATAATTCCCACTATTGCTACTAAAGCAAATCAACTGTGTACTTTAGGAGTGGCATTTACGGTCAGTAACAAAGGGTTAATTGTGTTGACATTATGACTTTTTTGTTCAAACACAAGGAAGAACTCTGATAAAACACATAGATGCTGGGAAGAGTAGCTACATTTTGTCACATGGCACAGTGCCACGCTTGCTTATTACACACAGGTGTTGTTAAAAGAGTGACAGCTTATTGGGCAAATGTGAACATACAGTGGGGAGAACAAGTATTTGATACACTGCCAATTTTGCAGGTCTGTAATTTTTTATCATACACATTGTATGATTTTAAAGTAATTAATTTGCATTTTATTGCATGACATAAGTATATGATACATCAGAAAAGCAGAACTTAATATTTGGTACAGAAACCTTTGTTTGCAATTACAGAGATCATACGTTTCCTGTAGATCTTGACCAGGTTTTTTTTAGCAGGGATTTTGGCCCACTCCTCCATACAGACCTTCTCCAGATGCTTCAGGTTTCGGGGCTGTCGCTGGGCAATACGGACTTTCAGCTCCCTCCAAAGATTTTCTATTGGGTTCAGGTCTGGAGACTGGCTAGGCCACTCCAGGACCTTGAGATGCTTCTTACGGAGCCACTCCTTAGTTGCCCTGGCTGTGTGTTTCGGGTCGTTGTCATGCTGGAAGACCCAGCCACGACCCATCTTCAATGCTCTTACTGAGAAAAGGATCTCGCGATACATGGCCCCATCCATCCTCCCCTCAATACGGTGCAGATGTCCTGTCACCTTTGCAGAAAAGCATCCCCAAAGAATGATGTTTCCACCTACATGCTTCACAGTTGGGATGGTGTTCTTGGGGTTGTACTTATCCTTATTCTTCCTCCAAACACGGCGAGTGGAGTTTAGACCAAAAAGCTATATTTTTGTCTCATCAGATCACATGACCTTCTCCCATTCCTCCTCTGGATCATCCAGATGGTCATTGGCAAACTTCAGACGGGCCTGGACATGCGCTGGCTTGAGCAGGGGGACCTTGCGTGCGCTGCAGGATTTTAATCCATGACGGCGTAGTGTGTTACTAATGGTTTTCTTTGAGACTGTGGTCCCAGCTCTCTTCAGGTCATTGACCAGGCCCTGCTGTGTAGTTCTGGGCTGATCCCTCACCTTCCTCATGATCATTGATGCCCCACAAGGTGAGATCTTGCATGGAGCCCCAGACCGAGGGTGATTGACCGTCATCTTGAACTTCTTCAATTTTCTAATAATTGCGCCAACAGTTGTTGCCTTCTCACCAAGCTGCTTGCCTATTGTCCTGTAGCCCATCCCAGCCCTGTGCAGGTCTACAATTTTATCCCTGATGTCCTTACACAGTTCTCTGGTCTTGGCCATTGTGGAGAGGTTGGAGTCTTTGATTGAGTGTGTGGACAGGTGTCTTTTATACAGGTAACGAGTTCAAACAGGTGCAGTTAATACAGGTAATGAGTGGAGAACAGGAGGGCTTCTTAAAGAAAAACTAACAGGTCTGTGAGAGCCGGAATTCTTACTGGTTGGTAGGTGATCAAATACTTATGTCATGCAATAAAATGCAAATTATTTACTTTAAAATCATACAATGTGATTTTCTGGATTTTTGTTTTAGATTCTGTCTCTCACAGTTGAAGTGTACCCTTGGATAAAAATTACAGACCTCTACATGCTTTGTAAGTAGGAAAACCTGCAAAATCGGCAGTGTATCAAATACTTGTTCTCCCCACTGTATTTAATGGGAGGTGATGGCAAAGACAAGGGAACGTTCCTGACGGGAATTGTTTAGGGATCAATGATTTACTGGTGGGAAGGTTTTTAAGGGAAGGTTAATACTGTAAGAAAGATAAGAAAGATTTGTATGCATCAGGAGATTATTCAATTGATCTTTAACTCAACTCATTGCTGATATTAAAAAAAAAACATTCCCATGTCTCCAATTTACTGGATGCCTGTAACATTTTGCCAGTAAGTGAGATCAGTGCAATGTACTCAAAGCATGCCACAAGTTGGCACCCATTCAATTAAGACTAAAGGAGGGATCAGCATACATATTGAGCTTCAGAAACATGTCTTTATAAGACAAGTCAAAGCATAATCTCAATCATCTCACTCGACAGGCCAGGTATCTGTAGATACTCATCACACAGGCATCAATAATAATCAGTATCAATAACTCTCACACTACCAACATTGCTGAGTAATAACTTCGCCCTGTCTCCATCCTTACCAGATGTTTGTAAACATTTAGCCAGTAAGTGAGATCTGTGCATTGTCTTCCCAAGCATACATAGCAAGTTGGTATGTTTTCAAGATTCACACACAGCAAATTCTCCGGTGTTAAATCAACACTGAGAGTGTTAAATTAACACTGAAAGGGTGGACCCGTACAGACACTGGAAAGTGTTAAATTGATAGGTTATTTTCAGGAGGAGTGGCTTATTAGGGGTGTGGCTTTTATATAGTTATTTTTGGCCACCCATGAGATCCTGTTGATCATGTTAAGTTTGTACACTGCAATGTTAAATTTTCCTTGAATATTATTGCACATTACATATTCTAATACAAAAATATTATTTACATATTATAACAAAGTGGTTACTATCCCATTGGGGATATCACATTGGGATTTGCAAAGGCTTTTAAGGAACTCATACACTCCTGTAAGCTTAATTAAAGCTACAAAAGTGTAAGTGTGCGACCGTAACGCGATAACAATTCAACAGAACAGATTAACCGTAATGACATTTACTCTCACAGGTGGCCAAAAATAACTTCCTGAAAGCCACGCCCTTACTAAACCAAGCGTTCAGTCTTCTAATCTGACCCGCTAGGTCATATCTCAATAACCCAGCATCAACAAACCAACCTTGCTCTTTTTAAAAAACAACCCAACTATGTGCCTGCAACCTAGCAGTTGGGTCATCTGAACAACCCAGTATTCTTTTGAGTGCAAGCCCTCAAAATAAGGCCTTATGAAATACATATTGTATTGTGTTAAATAATTACATTTAATGATAACATATTCACTTAGGATCTCACTTGGTGAAGTCCATAGGACTGAAAATGAATGGATGCAACAAGTATGTCTCTGTCACTAACAAATTCTGTCATGGGTGGTAACTCTACAATTCACTCAAAATGGGGAAATATGCAAATAAATCATTACACTAAGCAGTGTGTTAATTAAACACTGTTCAGTTTCTATAATTTAACACTGGAGAATTTGCTGTGCATTAATTATAATCCACATAATAATTCACATTTCTTGTTGCTGCAGGATTATTTTCCTGCAGTTGCAAACTGGCTCAAATTAAGTTCCTATATCTGTAAACACCACAGGTTCTCAAAGCTGCAAAATAATAGCACAATTTAAAAAACCTTGGCTCTCATAAAAACCTTCAGCCAATGTCATAGACAAAAGTACTGAAATTCATGTTATATAAAGTAAACTACAGAATAAAGTTGGCTGTTATTGCCTTTAAAAGGCCATTAAACCTGAAAGTGTACTTTTTATTGAATAGAAACCTCAGCTGAGTTCTGAAAGAAGCCTATTCATAGTAACCCATTCACTATAGCAGTCAGTCAGAGCAATAGCTAGAGAATGTGTTTGGTTTGGAAGCTCTAGAGCCAGCAGCCATTCAAAGCCCTGTTTCTGTTTCCATGGCAACACCCAGTCATAGCAGTAAAGAGAGGGAGAGCCAAAAGGACCCAGGTGGTATAGTCAGTAGCTCTGGACATTATCATGAGTTTTGAGCCAAACAGTAAGTACTATTGTGTGGGCCCTAGAACTTCAGAGAAGAGGAATGACATGGAGCTGAATGATTATTGGTCAATTGATGTCTTATTTCCAGTGTTTTAGCAGTGTATTGTTGTGGCTCAGCACGCATGGCTATTTGTTTGTGTATGTGTTTGTGCTGTTGACATGTAGGCTAGTCCTAACTAAAGGGTGTGAGGGGCTGAGCTGTGGGAATGAAAGCTGAGCTATAGGAATGAAAAAAGTAGCAACAGTGACCTCATGACAATTGAAAACAGAGCAGTGAAATATGGTGAGTTAGAAAATATAAATAATAATGATGTTACATGGTTGACAAATTACAAGGTCCAGGCACTCTAGTGCATTAAATATTCAACCATATACCTTCTTTTTGTATTTGATTTTCCATGTGTTCCTTTCTACGACCCCATTCAATATCAACCAGCAGATGTTTTTTGATACCTGTAGCTCTCTCGACACAAAGTTGTTGTCCAAAATCAGTATGGATTATGATTTTGGACAACAACTTTGTGTCGAGAGAGCTACAGGTATCAAAAAAACATCTGCTGGTTGATATTGAATGGGGTCGTAGAAAGGAACACATGGAAAATCAAATACAAAAAGAAGGTATATGGTTGAATATTTAATGCACTAGAGTGCCTGGACCTTGTAATTCGTCGACCATGTAACATTGTTGGGGTGGGGATTTGATTCTTCCTGTGTTCCTTTTCATAGATTATGATTTATTATAACAAAGTGGCTTTGTTTGACTAACTTACTGCTATTGACATTCCTTTGATTTAGAGTTACCTAAAGTACAACTATCATATTTCCTAACTAACTTATCTTGTGTGTGTGTGTGCTTAAGAGTGGGGGTTACGACGTGGACCTGTTTGTGGACGGTCCAGACTATGATCTGCTCTGCACCATCTGTAGATCTGTCCTGAGGTGTCCTGTCAGAGCGGCCTGTAACCATATCTTCTGCAAAACCTGCATCCTACAGTGGCTCAGGAGGTACAGTACACTGGATCATGTCCTCAGTGTAACCTTAACTGGTTATTCATAAGAAAAGGCAGTAGCTGTATTATTATGAAAGGTTTGAAGCAACATGTGTTTCTAGGACACAAAATTCAGATTTTGGGCACATTTTCACAGTGCTTAAAGATGATTACCATCTAATTTCTTCAGGTTTCTACTGTAGAAAGGAACATTTTAAAGTGTAACATTTATTTTATTGATTCAATTCAGCTTTCTTCTCTAGACAGGAGACGTGTCCCTGCTGTAGGAGACCTATCAGTCCCAGCTTTATGTTTGTCATGTACAAATTGCGTAAAACTATCAGCCGCCTCAGGATTAAGGTGAGACATCCCAGCCTGATGTTGCTAAATGTTTCTTTAATGTAATGGGGTTAATGTTTCTCAAGAAGCAATGTGTGAGGGTCACATAGTAGGAAGTACATTTGATTTTTCAAGCATAGAGGAACTCAGGGAAGGGTTGTCAAACTTTTTATTTTGCTTTGGGGGGGGGGGGGGGGGGGGGGGGTTGTGTTATTTTTTATTGGGTACAGGGGAAGGTAGTGCATTTTTTCCCTTGTTTATATTCATTTTTTGGCCAGGGTTTACTATATCATTTCTTCCTTCCTTACACTCTTAGAAAAAAAGGTGCTAACTAGATCCTTAAAGGGTTCTTCGGCTGTCCCCATAGGAGAACCCTTTTTGGTTGCAGGTAGAACCATTTTGGGTTCCATGTAGAACCCTTTCTACACAGGGTTCTACATGGATCCCAAAAGGGTTCTACCTGGAACCAAAAAGGGTTCTACGTGGAACCAAAAAGGGTTCTCCTATGGGGACAGCCAAAGAACCCTTTTGCAACCCTTTTTTCTAAGAGTGTAGCCAAATTTCCTCATCTACTTGCATGCGCCTCCTCTATATCAAGGTGTGTTGGTACTTCCCTTATGCATTACACTTTTCCGCACACTAACTTTTATTATAAACCGTTGGTTCGAGCCCTGAATGCTGATTGGCTGAAAGACCATATACCACAGGTATTCCCCAAAACATTTTTTTACTGTTCTAATTATTTTGGTAACCAGTTTATAATAGCAATAAGGCACCTCAGGGGTTTGTGGTATATGGCCAATATATCACGGCTAAGGGCTGTATCCAGGCACTCCGGTTTACATCGTGCATAAGAACAGCCCTTAGCCCTGGTATATTGGCCATATACCACACCCCTCATGCCTTATTGCTTAACTATACCACAGGTCAATATAATCTACCAGTCTAACTGTCTATCCTGCCCTCTATCCACCATTCATAGTGACAATAGTGGTAGGTGGATCGTTTGTCCAGATCTGCAATAGGCTAACTAGCAATCATACCACATATACATTGTGATGAGGTGTGAATGAAGGAGTCAGGCGCAGGAGGAAAACGCACCCAGCGTCAAAACGAAACTATCACAAGGGAAATATTCCACCTTGGCAATAACAACCGAGCTACTCGTTCTCACAATGAAACAATCACTCACAAAGACAAGGGGAACAGAGGGAACACTTATACACATACTAATTAGGGGAATGCTAGTAAGCCGGTGACGACGAACGCCGAAACCTGCCCGAACAAGGAGGGGAGGCAGCCTCGGCGGAAGTCGTGACATAAATGCATTCAAAGCTGCATACATTTTCCATAGTAATCCACACGAACAATCACGAACAATCAGGAATAGCTGATAGGCAGGGGAGACATGAGACATGCAGCTCAGAAAGCTCCCCTATTGATCTTGTTTAGGGACAATACAATGATCCTACCTAGACTAGCCTACAACACCACAATGCAAATTTTTTGCAATCGGGGAATACCCTTTGTTTTGGGCAGGGGGAGAAAGGGGGAGGGGGACAAAAGCCTCCCCTTATGGGCTTTTTGGGCCCCGCCCCTAGGGCTAGGGGGGTAAAACCCCCCAAGTTCTTTATTTATTGGGGCCCCAAGTGGGGTTTTTCTCTTAAGGGAATCTTTAATTTTGAAAAATGAAAAAACCCTTGGAAATTGAAAAACCGGACCCCTTTTGTGGTCTTCCCCGACAAATTTTTAAAAAATCAATAAGCCAAAAGGGTGTAAATTTCTGTAACTTTTAATGGCGTCGTTAATCTTTGTTTAAAGTTCCCAAAAAATGTGGAAATATTTTCCCGGCATCCCCCATAAACCAGGGAAAGCCTTCCTCCTTTAATCGCACATTCCCTTTCCCCACCCCAAACCTAAAAAACCCAAATACCCAAAAATTTTTTTAACTTTTTGGTTTAAAACCTTTTATTGTAAAAAAGGTTTTTAATCAAGGCTTTAAAAGTTCCGACAGTCCCCCCAAAAATTAAACCAAACTTAAAAAACCCAAAGTCTAACTTTTCCTGTTTTAATTTAAAATCCTGTAATAAAAAAACCATTTTTTAACCGGCACCGGGTTTTTTGGAAAATTTTCCCCAAAAAACCCCCCCAAAGGCCATACCAAAACCATAAACATTTAAAAAAAAAGGCAAAAAGCCTTTTTTCTTTCTTGTAAATAGATTTTCCCAGCAAATTTTGGGCCACTTTCGGGGGTTTTTTATTTTTCTTTTTCACAAAATAAAAGTACACAAAATAGGGAAAAAAATTGGGGACATGTAGTCCAAAAAAATTTTTAAACTACAAAAACAAATAAACCCCCCTTTCCTTTTACATTTTTCAACTCGGCTTCTTCACCAAACTTCACCGAAGCCTTTTCCAAAATCCTTGGGTGTTCCCACCGTATGCTGGCCTTGGGGTCTTTTTCCCTTTTTTGGGGGCCGATCCATAAACCATCTCAATTGGGTTGAGGTCGGGGGATTGTGGAGGCCAGGTCATCTGATGCAGCACGCCATCACTCTTCTTCTTGGTCAAATAGCCATTACACAGCCTGGAGGTGTGTCGGGTCATTGTCCTGTTGAAAAACAAATGATAGTCCCACTAAACCCAAACCAGATGGGATGGCGTATCGCTGCAGAATGCTGTGGTAGCCATGCCGGTTTAGTGTGCCTTGAATTCTACATAAATCACAGACAATGTCACCAGCAAAGCACCCCCACATCATAACACCTTCTTCTCCATGCTTTACAGTGGGAAATACACATGCGGAGATCATCCGTTCACCCACACCGCGTCTCACAAAGACACAGCGGTTGGAACCAAAAATCTCCAATTTGGATTTCCACCGGTCTAATGTCCATTGCTCGTGTTTCTTGGCCCAAGCAGGTCTCTTCTTCTTATTGGTGTCCTTTAGTAGTGGAAGGCCTGATTCACATAGTCCCCTCTGAACAGTTGATGTTGAGATGTGTCTGTGACTTGAACTATATGAAGCATTTATTTGGGCTGCAATTTCTGAGGCTGGTAACTCTAATGAACTTATCCTCTGCAGCAGAGGTAACTCTGGTGTCTTCCATTCCTGTGGGGTCCCATGAAGGGTTTCTCATAAATTTTGGGTTTTTGACTGCATTGAAAAAACGAAATTCTTGAAAGTTCCATATACCCCTCACTTAAATAAAAGAGGACTGGGCTTCTCTTCTTATTTTGCTTTTCTTCCTAATTGGGGGGTCCCCTTTTAAAAAGGGCTTTTCTTTTTACCCCCCCCCGTCACAAAACAATATTTTCTCAAACCCTTTAAAAAGAAAAAAAAAACCCCCAAAAATAATTTTAGAAGCACCCCGTTAATTTAAATGCAAAATTCCCGGGGGACTACCCCTTAATTTGAAGAATGCCAAATTTTGGCAAAATGTTCAAAAAGGGTGTATTTTAAAATTTTCCCAAATTAAATTTTTTTGATTTTTTAAAAACTTTTTGGACTCAACCATTTTTTATTAATAACTTATATTATTCCAAGTAAAAAAATAAAAAAAAAAGAACCCGGATATGGTTTCCAAAATTTTAACTTACTTATTTTGGGCAAAGGAGAAAATTAAACATGAGACCTGGAATGAGTAGGTGTCCAACCCTTGAGGTACTTTTGGTACTACATGATCCATATGTTTTATTAATAGGATGTCTTCACATTTTTACAATGTAATGGAAAAGTAGTGAGGGGGTCCAAACGACTGGTACTGTATGTATAATGGACAAATGGAAATAAGTCCCCGACTTTATTGTGCAAAAATCTTTGTACTGTGTGTACATACAGTGCCCTCTTTAATTATTGAGACAGTGAAGCATTTTTTATTATACTCCAAAAGTTTGGATTTGAAATCAAACAATGACTATGAGGTTAAAGTGCAGACTGTCAGCTTTAATTTGAGGCTCTATTTTTTTTTACATGTTCCCCCCATTTTAGGGGAGCAAATCGTGAATACTCATGAGTGAGAAAGTTACCAATGCACAAATACCACACCCCTCTCACCATTACAATAACATGGGAGGTTAGCATCTGTAACTTTCTCACTCATCATTATTCATGATTCATTCAGGATTATCCGTAATCGTGGTAGCATCCACATTCATGTAGAAGAGTTCAGAAAGATATTCTATTCTTATTTACAATAAAAGTGACTCCAACATGACACAATACATTATCTACCAATCATTCTAAAAATAATCTGAAACACAACAAAAACAAACATCCAATACATTTGTAGTCACAAGCTCGATGTAGTCATTGCGTGCTATGAATATGGGGCCAAATACTTAACTTTTTACTACTTTAATAAAAATAGAAGTGAATTTGTCCCAATACTTTTGGTCCCCTAAAATGAGGGGCTGTGTACAAAAAGTGCTGTAATTTCTAAATGGTTCACCCAATATGGATGTAAATACCCTCAAATTAAAGATGACAGTCTGCACGTTAACCTCACAGGCATTGTTTGATTTCAAATCCAAACTTATTAAGTATAGAGCCAAAAGATCAAAATATACTTTACTGTCCCAATATTTACGGAGGGCACTGTATGTGCTTTTTTTTTACTGACAAATAAAATCAATCAATCATTTTACATTTACATTTTAGTCATTTAGCAGACGCTCTTATCCAGCATACGTTTTTTTTTTTTTTTTTTTTTTTTTTATACTGGCCCCCCGTGGGAAACGAACCAACATCCCTGCCGGCCAAACCCTCCCCTACCTTGGATGACGCTGGACCAATTGTGCGCCGCCCATGGGTCTCCCGGTTGCGGCCGGCTGCGACAGAGCCTGGACTCAAACCAGGATCTCTAGTGGCACAGCTAGCACTGCGATGCCATTTGATGAATGGAAAGAGACATCTGATACAAAACACCAAAACGTTTAATGACATTCAGAGATTGTTAAACCAAGCCTCTGATATTGGGTAGGCCTACAAGGTAGGGAGGGATGTCTTTTCTGTTTGTCCAGATTGACATAGTCTATTTGCTGTGGTGTTGAAAACGCAAATATTGCGTTATTGTTATTGAAGCGCCCGAAGTCGGTATGCTTTGTTTCTTGTCTGTATGGTGCATTGGCACAGAAAATGAAACAGGCAGAGAGACTGAGCTCGACCGCTCTGGTCAGCGAACCCTCAACCTTCTGGCCCGTAGCCCTGCGTGGCATCGACTGTGCCACAAAAGCATGCTGAAATGGTAAAGTCGATATCTACGTTTATAAACACAGGGTGACTACAGTCGTAAACATGTGCACATTTTTTTATAGTACAAGGGGAGGGTCATGTGAAAATATGTTTTACGTTGGGGATTTTTTTTTTTATGACACCTTGAGCTAGACCAGCCCCCCCAGTACATTTCGAACTCTCCCTAAATAATTTAAACAACTGACCACAATCTTTGACTTCCACTTTCCCAGTCTTCCACTTCCTCTCCTCTCTCCTCTCTGCTTTCCCCTTCTCACTCTCCCATGTAGTGTAACAACGATGGCTGCTCGGCCACCTTCCCTCTGTCTGAGGAGTTCCTCCATAGTTCCTCCTGTCAGTTCCAGAGGGTCCCATGCCCCCACCAGGGCTGTGGTTCCTTGGTGCACCGGTCAGCCCTGGAGGTCCACTCACAGCACTGCCAGCATTGGAGCCAGCTCTGCACTATGGGCTGTGGTACTCTGCTCACACAGGCCACCCAGCCCCAACACAACTGCTTCAGGTGGGTGGGTGTTAAAACACTGGGAGTGGGTGGATGAGGTGAGACAGAATGAACATGGCGTTTGTATCTTACATTTAGAAGCTTTCCTCACTTTCCTTCTTTTGTAGTAGATGAGGTGAGTTTTCCTGTCAATTCAAACTGAATATCACTGAAAAGGAAAGGAATGATATTCCGTTTGGTTTCCAGGCTAGAATGTCCCCTTTACAATATACAAATTATCTTGGTGTAAATGGATGAATCCTGTTTGATGATGATTATGGTTACCCCAGGCAGCTGAAGCAGCAGGTGGAGTCCCAGAGGCAGAACCACAGAGCCATCGCTAGCGCCCTCAGAAGGAAGATGAGGAGAATGCAGACCACAATGACACAAGTCAGGAGGCAGGTGGCACTCATCTGTGAAAGCCTAGAGGTCATGGGAGAGGGGGAGGAGGGACAGGGAGAGGGGGAAGGAGAGGGGGAGGGGGAGACTACAGGGGAGAGTAACACAAGCATCAGTAGCAGCAGCTCCTAAAATGGAAACAGGGTTTTATTTTTTATTTGACAAATGATTAATTACGTTTTATATTACATAATGGTTTTTATATGAAAGACTGTTTATGCAGAAATGTGAAAAGTAAAGAGGTTTGGATTTTAATGAAACTTTTAATTTCATTTTGGTGTATTTTGTACAGACTGCAGATGTATTCTTATGGATTGTTTTATTTTCATAATGTTTCTATTAGGTTGATTATTGTATTTTGGCAAATCCAAATCTTGAATGATTAAAAACATGACATAAAAACACTTCTTCATGTCTTGGTTTTATTCAATGATCGTTTTCATCTTTCAAGTATTAAATATGGACTGTCTGCTCAAAAGGACATTGAACTGTAAAAAATCAAAGCAACAAGCTCGTTACTGTTTCTCACATGTAAACATTGACCAAAGGTATCACTTAAAGTCGGTTGAAGTTCTGTAATATACAGTATCCCACTACATTTGGTGGCACATCTATACTGAACAAAAATATAAACACAACATGCAACAATTTCTAAGATTTTGCTGAGTTACAGTTCATATAAGGAAATCAGTAAATTTAAATAAATTCATTAGGCCCTAATCTATGGATTTCACATGACTGGGCAGGGGCACAGCCATTGGCTCATGAAACATGGGACCAACACTTTACATGTTGCGTTTATATTTTTGTTCGATGTACTTGTAGTGCTTTGAGAATTTCAGGGGTGTCTTAGTGTCATTGGGCCACAGGGAGGCACTAGTCCAAGTCTGCAGCAGTATTGTCCTGGGAAATCCTCCCGATGGACTCCATGGAGGAGTGTTGTGAGTGTGATGACTGGGCCGGACCCTCCTCCAGTAGCCCAGCTGGAGGACTGTCCATCCCAGAATGCATCAGAGGCAGGTAGATATCGTCCATGTTGGGCAGCACAAATACTTTCTGGAATGGAGAGAAGTTAGGTTAATTGTTTTATTGGGGATAGGTTGTCTTACTTGGGATTTTGAGGGAAGGGGAGGCAAGGGAGAGTAAAATAGGAAGAGATGGATGAGAAAAGACAAGGGAAGGAGAGAGGTGAGAGATACAAGGGTAGACAAGGAAAGAGAGGGAGAGAGAGGAAAAGAGGAGGAGGAGGAGAGGAAAGAGAAGTCTAACCTCAAACTCATCCTGCAGCTTCTTCTCGATCCACTCGGTCACGTGACAGAAGGTGACCTCCCTCTCCCCCAGCTTGGGTCTGACACGCAGGTCCAGCTTGGGAGGCACACAGAAACTGTACCTGGAATACACCCAAACATGCACAAATACAGGATCATCAATAAATACAGAGAGACAGTAACTGAAGGCAACTACCATGTTGACCTAACCTGTGGTCTTATCATCGGTTGCTATCATTTGGCTGGCCCTTTGCTCAACTTGGCACAAAAAGAAAAGTAATGCTCTTTCATGCTTAAGACGCAAGTACATAAATGAAGAGATAAAGTAAATCGGAGTGAATTTGGACTAGGGGCTAGGGGTTGTTTCATGACAAGGCCATAGAGCAGGGTAACCCAACTGGCGGGTCGGGGGCCGAATTTGGCCCCACGGTTGGTTTTATTTGCCCCCCCCCCCAACCCCCCTAAGTTTTCTGAGCAAAATTATTATTATAAAAAATAATAATAAATAATATATATATATATATATATATATATATCATTGTTGGACATAAAACATTTAAAAAAAACATTTTAGTAATTTAGCAGACGCTCTTATCCAGAGTGACTTACAGTGCATTCATCTTAAGATAGCTAGATGGGACAACCACATATCACAGGCATAGAAAGTACACTTTTCCTCAATAACGTAGCTATCAGTAGAGTCAGAGCTGTGAGTCAGAGCTAGCAATTATTTAATTTTTTTAGGTAAGCACCATGGTCTTGTAGTGGATGAGAGCTTCGAATGGAAGCCAGTGGAGTGTGCGGAGGAGTGGAGTGACATGAGAGAACATGGGAAGGTTGAAAACTAGACGGGCTGCAGGAGTTTGATGGCACATGCGGGGAGCTGTAAAAACAGCAGCAAGTCAGCTCCAAGTGATTACAATTTTGGAAATCTGTTCCCAAGTATTCACACGCATAATAAAGAGACACGTGATCGTATACAAAGGTAAGCAAGGTTTGAAATTATTATGTTATAGTCAAATATTATATCTGTTTGGGCTTCTTCCGGTCAATTTGCAGTCTATAAATTATCTGTAATTATGTTCCGGCCCCCCAACCTTCTGCTCAAGAAAGAAATTGAGTTCATGATCTCTGTCATTGAGTAACTCTAAGTGAGAGTGGGCCATACCATATTCTATCAGTAGGGGGGAGGGATATTGAGTGTGGTCCGTACCATATTCTATCAGTACGGGGAGGAGAGGATGTTGAGTGTGGTCCATACCATATTCTATCAGTAGGTGGAGGAGGGATCATAAATGTGGGCAATACCATATTCTATCAGTAGGGGGAGGAGGCATATTGAGTGTGGGCCGTACCATATTCTATCAGTAGGGGGAGGAGGGATATTGAGTGTGGGCCATACCATATTCTATCAGTAGGGGGAGGAGGGATATTGAGTGTGGGCCGTACCATATTCTATCAGTAGGGGGAGGAGGGATATTGAGTGTTGACGTACCATATTATATCAGTAAGGGGAGGAGGGATCATAAGTGTGGGCCGTACCATATTCTATCAGTAAGGGGAGGAGGGATCATAAGTGTGGGCCGTACCATATTCTATCAGTAGGGGGAGGAGGGATGTTGACAGCCAGTGTTCCAGAAAGCTCCTGAACCTCCACTGCCAGGAGCAAGGGCGTGTTGGACATCTCCTCAATCTTCTTTTTGATGTACTCATTCTCTGTTGCCTTCTGGAAGTACTTAGACTTAGCAATTTTGTCGACAAATCTCAAAATCCGCCTGCCTGTCCTACCGCCACCAGCAGCAATCCTGCAGAGGGGAGAAGAGGAGGAGAGAGGCCTTATGCTTTCAGAGGTAAATGTCACACTGGTCACAAATGAAAACAGCACTGCTATGATCTAAAACTAAGGGCTCTATTCAATCCATAGCATTGAAGATCCACTTTATAGTGTGATTAACACTTAACATACTTCTGCGATACTTCGACGATCCGGATTGAATCCAGCCTTAGCAGCTCCCCCAAAAAATATTGAGGCTACCAGACAGCCTTTTCATTATTTGTAGCAGTCATAAGGGCATGAAATCAGCAGAAGGCAAGGCAAGTTTATGTGCTCAGAGTGTAGATTTATTTACAGGTCTTGGTGATCCAATGGTGATAGCGCCATAACATACAAAATATACAAGTACATTTACCAAATATACACGGGCAGTAGCCCAAAAGAAATAGCCTTTGTATCAGGCTTAACCTGTCCTATCTGAACGGGCACAGGTAGAGGGTAAGACTGCACAGCCTCCACTTGAGAAACCAAATCTGTCTAACAGGAGCTCAAACAGGTAGGCCTACATAATATAAGCACTTGGCCCCCAGGACCATACAATTACCCAATTGGCAATACAACCGATAAACTGGTTCTACAATGTAAAAGACGATTTCCACATACATTGTTACAATATTACATTCCTCTTAATCAAGATTAATGATTGTTAATTATATTTCAACACCATGCATACACGGAACAATCAATTTATCTTATTCAACGTTCTGACTCCAAAGCGTGGAACGCAGACACGCGGAACTCCGACATAACCCAGGAAATTGAGGTCAAGTCAAATTATTTTATTTTCTATCAAGTCGAGACTCAATTCATCAAATTTGTGACTGGAGTCAGATTTGAGTCCAAGTCATGTGACTCGAGTCCACAACTCTGGTTGTGACTATAGAAAATGGTATTAGGGCTCGAAGTTCACCGTTATAGCACGCTTGAAATGTAAAGATAATTTCCGATTGAGCCGACATATGCAGCATTTACCGTGAATGCAGTCTCCACTAACGTGGGAACATTGCCTTTAAATCTAAATCGAGCTACAACACGGAAAGTGAGCGCTACGGATTGAATCAAGCCCTTAGAGTCAAATACAGCACAAGGTCACTGTCAGGTCACAGTCAGGAAAAACTCCTGGCCGTATCATTCTACATGGCCGATTATATTTGTTGTGTAAGAGAAAGGGACATCAATTACCCTTCAGCACCGGGTGGAGTCCCCTTTTCTCCCACAATGCCTTGGTGCTCTGAGAGCAGTACTTCCTCCTCGTCCGAAGAGCCGGCGCTGGAGGACTCTTCATCACTGTCAGCCAAAACACTGAGGATGGGTCTGGACCTGGACACAAAACACAACAACACAGGTTTCCTGAGTGTCTCGTGTAGCTCAGTTGGTATAGCATGGTATTTGTAATGTCAGGGTTGTGGGTTCAATTCCCATGTGGGACTAGTGTGAAAATGTATGCACTCACTACTGTAAGTCGCTCTGGATAAGCGTGTCTGCTAAATTACTGAAATGTGAAAAATGATTTCAGCTCTCACTGAGACTAACCTTAATCCACATTTTAGTTCAATCCTATTCTCAGCCACAACCCTAGCTTGGTCCACAACCCTAATAGACAGTTTATGTGACACCTAAATCAAACCATATCCAGCAGAGTCAACCATACTGTAAAGACAAGCTCAAATATGATTATCTTTTTATGATGGAACAAGGATCTACTGTAAGAATCCATTTTAATCTGGAAACAGACCAACTAATCAACATCATGTACAGAGAGCTCTGTCGTGTGCAGGCTTTGTTCAGAGGTTCACTATTAGTGGAGTTTGACAGATCAGGAGGGATATTGTAGGTTGGTGTCTTCATTATCAGTTCATTATTTAGCTCACAGTGGGGGCAGACAGAGCATAGCAGATCATCATTACCAGGATGTCAGCATAGATGCTGCAAGGCAGTGGTTATATTGTAGCCTGAAATCCAGACCTGTTTTGTGCTAACATTCAACTTCTTGTACTCTGTGTCATATTCCAAACATGACAAGGAGTGGAATGATAGCACAAACAGACTGGTACCCAGGCTAGTAATTTTGCAGTTCAATTTACAAATAATAATGTTAGTTGTACAACGTAAAATGCATGTTGTACAGTAAATAATATATTTTATTTTAGATGATAGTGCAGTAGTAACTGTAATGTGACTGACCCTAGGCTGCCAGTATCAGTGAGGCTGTCTGTGTCCAGGCTTCCCTCCTTGCCCTCCTTGCCCAGTTTGGACAGGTTGATCTTAGTCTCCAGGGTCATCTGCAGGGCCCCGGTGTACACCACCTCCAGCTCCAGCCACAAGCCTGGAGAACACAAACACACCACATACACATGTACACATGCACGCACACACACACACTCATGCACACACACACACACACACACACTCATGCACGCACACACACACACTCACACATACACACACACTCACGCATGCACACACACACACACACACACACACACACACACCAGAACAGAGATGAAGAGAATGATCAGGTGATTGAGAGGGAGGAGACGGTCCATTGCTCATGTCATCTGATTATGATAAGAGTACTGAGCATCAGATGAGTCGATATTATTACAGTAATCTGTTGTAATCTCAGGGAGCCAGGGAGCTGTTCCCTCCTGCTGGGGACACGCAATACAGCATATTGGTTTGGTGGTGGTCTGTGTGTGTCTATGTGTGTCTATGTGTGTCTGTGTGTGTATCTGTGAACCCATACACACGGGTGCACTTATAGTGCTTGGGCAGGATTTGCTGGCTTGTCCTTAAGAGTCTATTGACACACCCGTGCGTCAATCTAAGTAACATAATAAAAAAATCCCCATCAAAATCCGTCAGATTAAGCTAGAGATATCACGTCTCAATCCACCGCATCCGCCTATGTCGGCCTGCCCCATCTGCGGTGGAAGGTGGCCGAGCTACAGCGGTGTTTGTCAGACCATGAGACATCCCGAAAATCGGTCTTCTCACGGAAATGTCTGTAGCGTCCGAACGTTATGACCACTCTATGGAAAGGGCAGACTCTCACGAATACGATGGATTTCTCTGTTTTGCTCTACGAACCCCACAAGTGTCACGGGACTCGTCTGAAGGTAACCCATACAAACATATGGAAGTATGGAGGTAGTTTTGTGCCCCTAAAAATAAGGTGTTAAATATGTTTCCCAAAAAAATACATTATTTCCTGAGCTTTCTTATATCTGCTAGATATAGGACAGATACTTCAAAACCTTACTCCTTATGCTAATTGTTTTTGACTATATTTTTTGCCATTTATTAATTCAATGTGTTTCTATTGGCTATAGTAGTAAAGGCCAAATAAAATATTTTATCATATATTTATTTTTTATTCCAAATCAAATAGCTAAATGATCATCTTAAAACAATTCCATGTGTTAGCTTAGTACCTCCAGAGAGGGTTAGTCTGTGTGCCCTTTCCTCCTGTCTCTCTGCCCACACCACAATTTGCGCCAGGCACCACGACCCGCGTCACATCCATGCCTCTCTAATCACACATCATCCCATTTACAGATTTATACAGAGCTCCCCCCGCACAGTCCACATTTGTCACCATCATTCTTTTTGGGAATTATAATCTGTTGTAATTTGCTGTAATTTGCGGACCTTCATTTAATTTGCTCCTAAGTACCCTTCCAGAATCTAGATTAGACCGAGGATGACACGCTGTCATTGTCTTTCACTAATTGATGCTCTGAGTAGAGGTTAATGTACTGTATGCAGAGTGGGCCGATTCACTGTGTCATCATTAGGGTCAGGAGTTATTCCTAAACACCAGGCCCTAGTCATCATCGCAGAAACATCAGGGAGAGTAAAAAGGAAGAGTGAGCTTTGTAGTTGACACTCGCCTCTGCTGTTGACCACAGGTCTGGATGCACTGGTGATTTTGGGCAGACAGGAGCCCATGTCCAGTTCAGTCAGAGTCAGCTCATTCATGAAGTAAGGCAGCTGCACAGACACACACACAAACAAACAAAGAAATGGCATTTCGCTCCTCTGTTTTGCTTGTTTCCAGTGGGTTTTGTGGTTATGTTGGCTATATACTACTAGCAAATGACCAAATAGAAACATTGTACAAGCTCCCCTTACTCCTGAAGAGGGGAATTTACACTGTGAGAGCTCACATACTCACTCTGATTTTGCTCAGCTTTTTCTGGATCTTTCTGGAGACAATGTCCGCCCAGTATTTCTCACGCAGGAAGTCCCAGAAGATTCGACCAATCAGTGCATTGACCCAGTCAGTCTGGCCCTCCACCGGGAACTCTGGGAAATCACAGGTGCACTATAGGGAAATAGATACACCACTACAGATTAACACACTATTTAATTATATCATCTATCTGTTTCTAGATGTTTCATTAAGGTGGTCAGGGGAACTCACCCTCACTTTGTTGGTGGGGCTTGTCTCTGTGCTGTTGAGGGGTGGGCTGGGCAGGGGGCTGGGCTGCTCTGAGGGCAGGAAACGAGCCATGTAGGTGGGGTAGTCCAGCAGCGGAGAGCCCACCCTGGATGGTTGGATGGAGGGGGCAGAAGGGGGTAATGGGAGGTCCTCTTCAGTGCTCCCCATCCTGCTGGAACCTCTGCTGTCCTGGGACCGTCTTGAGGGGCTCACCCCTCGCACCACCGGCACATCTAGATACAGAGATGACAGTTGTTGGTTCACAGATTTTACGTTGTGGTGATCATTTATTTTAAGAGTTACATGAGAGTGCATCTGTAAGGAAATGTGTAATATTCTCAGCGATAGATTTTGCTTCAGGGGCCTTAGTGGACTGTCTATGATGGAGGGCAACACTGTTCAGTTTACTACCAGGACAGACCAGAGCAGGGGCAGAAACATGTGTGGTTAAGTGCTTTCAGAGCATCACGACAGTACTATATTCTCCTGCATGTTCACGCATCTGTAATCTTGAAATGAACCATCCTGGAATACATGGAACTGGAGCATATAATCCACCAGAGTAACATTTACTTGATTTATCCTTCCCTTTCCACATGTATTGCTAATGCATTATATTTCATGGCCAATATATGTACTGTGTTAAGATTTGTCATTATGCAAAAAACACAAAAGACTAGCGCGAAGTCAATTAAATGATGAAAAAAAGACAACCATACAAAACAACAAAAACAAACAAAAACAGCTTGTCCTACCTGATCTGGACACACATCTGCCAGGCCTTTGCCTCTCCTTCTCCTTCTCCATTACCATGGACGCGGACAGGAAGTGATGAAACCACTCCTCCTTCTCTCTTCCTGTCCGTCCGAAGAGGTATAGGGTTGTAGTGAGGTTGGCTGCTGGTTTGGAGGTGGAGGTGGGTCGTGTTTGGAGTTGGGGGTCTCCCCCCTGCTCCTCTCTTGGGGTCTCCTCTGTACCCCTCTCCTCATCCATGACTCCCTCTCCCTCTGTCAGTTCAATGCAGATAGGGTACTTCAGGTTCCACAGCCTCTTACGGGCTAGCGCAGAGGGCAGCAGGAACACCTGGTATTACAACAAGACTTATTAGAAACCCGTTATATAACACAACATTAATACATCCGGTTATTATCATTATTCATGCTTTCAGACCATCTCAAAAACCGTTGCAAGCACCATGCTATACCAACTGAGCTACAGATGACCACTACTGATGCGATTATTGTATGTAGCACACATATAAAATAAATGTAAAAAACATCTCAAGGTTTTATGAAGTCAATGAATACAATATAAAACCTTGCATCATATTTCCCCAAATGACCTTTAAGCTTTGAACAGCGAGTGTAAGTTGACAGACCAAGCAGACCTTGCTGTGTTGTAGCTGGAAGCAGCGTGAGCTGACAACCACAGCCTCGGGAGGCCTTTCATCGTAGGTGGTCCTGCGGCTGATGTTGTTCCTGGGGTAGTCCAGGCGGAGGCAGTGCCCCTCCAGGGTGGCGAACACAGAGTGGGTCAGGGACGGGTGGTAGGTCTCTGGGTCGTACTCAAACATCTCGTTCAGCCAGCCCTGAAACAAATGGGAATACACTGAGTTATATAGTGAGACCGTAAGAGAATACTTGAATGACACATGGGAATACACTGAGCATGCTTCAATGACTAAGACAAGCTGTTGTGTAACGAGCTACTTCATCTGTTGATAATAGCTTGTCCTTCAAAACACGTCAATGCAGTTAGTCAAATAATGAACATTCACCATGACACATAGAGAAAGCTACAAAGCAAAATATCAATGTTAGACTTGACACTTTGGGGAGCATAGGTCATTTAAATGGTATTAGTGTTAGAGAGTGAAAGTCTCAAAGCTCTCTCACACTGATGCCCACGACTAACTCTTCACCCCAAAGCTCTCTCACACTGATGCCCACGACTACTCTTTCACCCCAAAGCTCTCTCACACTGATGCCCACGACTACCTCTTCACCCAAAGCTCTCTCACACTGATGCCCACGACTACCTCTTCACCCAAAAGCTCTCCTCACACTGATGCCACGACTACCTCTTCACCCCAAAGCCTCTCCACACTGATGCCACGACACCTCTTCACCAAGCTCTCTCACACTGATGCCCACGACTACCTCTTCACCCCAAAGCTCTCTCACACTGATGCCCACGACTACCTCTTCACCCCAAAGCTCTCTCACACTGATGCCCACGACTACCTCTTCACCCCAAGCTCTCTCACACTGATGCCCACGACTACCTCTTCACCCCAAAGCTCTCTCACACTGATGCCCACGACTACCTCTTCACCCCAAGGCTCTCTCACACTGATGCCCACGACTACCTCTTCACCCCAAAGCTCTCTCACACTGATGCCCACGACTACCTCTTCACCCCAAAGCTCTCTCACACTGATGCCCACGACTACCTCTTCACCCCAAAGCTCTCTCACACTGATGCCCACGACTACCTCTTCACCCCAAGCTCTCTCACACTGATGCCCACGACTACCTCTTCACCCCAAAGCTCTCTCACACTGATGCCCACGACTACCTCTTCACCCAAAGCTCTCTCACACTGATGCCCACGACTACCTCTTCACCCCCAAAGCTCTCTCACACTGATGCCCACGACTACCTCTTCACCCCAAAGCTCTCTCACACTGATGCCCACGACTACCTCTTCACCCCAAAGCTCTCTCACACTGATGCCCACGACTACCTCTTCACCCCAAAGCTCTCTCACACTGATGCCCACGACTACCTCTTCACCCCAAAGCTCTCTCACACTGATGCCCCACGACTACCTCTTCACCCCAAAGCTCTCTCACACTGATGCCCACGACTACCTCTTCACCCCAAGGCTCTCTCACACTGATGCCCACGACTACCTCTTCACCCCAAGCTCTCTCACACTGATGCCCACGACTACCTCTTCACCCCAAGGCTCTCTCACACTGATGCCCACGACTACCTCTTCACCCCAAAGCTCTCTCACACTGATGCCCACCGACTACCTCTTCACCCCAAGGCTCTCTCACACTGATGCCCACGACTACCTCTTCACCCCAAAGCTCTCTCACACTGATGCCCACGACTACCTCTTCACCCCAAAGCTCTCTCACACTGATGCCCCACGACTACCTCTTCACCCCAAAGCTCTCTCACACTGATGCCCACGACTACCTCTTCACCCCAAAGCTCTCTCACACTGATGCCCACGACTACCTCTTCACCCCAAGGCTCTCTCACACTGATGCCCACGACTACCTCTTCACCCCAAGCTCTCTCACACTGATGCCCACGACTACCTCTTCACCCCAAAGCTCTCTCACACTGATGCCCACGACTACCTCTTCACCCCAAAGCTCTCTCACACTGATGCCCACGACTACCTCTTCACCCCAAAGCTCTCTCACACTGATGCCCACGACTACCTCTTCACCCCAAGGCTCAGTCTGACATCCACCTTAAAAACAAACCCAACAATTAACCAACAAGGGAATTATCCCTCCTCACTAACATAACCTCTGTTTCCCCCTGTGGCACTACACTTTACCACTGATAAGACTGTTTTGCCTGCCACTGAACCTGACCAATTACACAGCCCCAGCCTCACTTGCTCAGCTAATTGCCTCGGGAGCTATACCCTGCACCTGGCAAGGTTCTGCTCTGCTGTGCTCTGCTATGCTGTTCTCAGCCAAGGGAGACAACACTAATGAGGCTCTGTATCTTTTTTAGTTTGTAGGAACCTTTTATTGGGCAACGTTAATTGCATTCCAGGCACTTTTAGCTATCGCACAGGCACCACATTAGAAAGTATTCAGGCTCAGAGAGGGCGAGAGGGGGAATGGAGGTGCTGACTTGTTTTAGGAAGAAAAGTTCTAGGAAGTCCATGCCACAGTATGGAGGTGTGCAATTTCAAATATGGTTTTCTATTCAGCCAATTGTTGTGTGGGTGTCGAGATCTGTAAAGACCAAGGCCATTTTCTGACTCCAGTGTTATAAGTCCCCATTCAGACCTAGCTGGTCTTTTGTGCTGAGAGAAATGAACTGTACAAAAAGGAATTCACCTTCAGGTTCTTATGTTGTGACGTGTTTCATTTGCAACTGTATTGTACCTTACATTTTTTCGGAAAGAGTTTTCACTATTGAACATGAACTTACCTTGAGGACGTCTGGTTCGGTGCCGAGGGCATCAGCCTGCTGAACAACCTCAGTCAGGGCCTGAATATCTCTGTGTGGATGTGGCTGAGCGTTGTGTTTGGTTGAGCCCAGCCTGATGAGCAGCAGCCCCAGCAGGAAGCCAAAGGCCATGCCCAGAGCCAGGCCTGACATGTAGGGGCTCAGGGGGAGGATGAAGTAGACATAGGACAACACAGCCACACAGAACAACCCCATGCGTGGTGGAGGTGGTGGAGAGGTGGGCTGACTGACCACACGATGGGGTCCTGAGGAGATCAGAGAACCAGGCAATCTCTGCGGATGCCTGTGATGATGACTCTCGACGGCCACGACCTGCATGACGTCATCGTAGGTGCAGATCTCCAGTTCCTCGGAATTGTCGTTGAGTTTGTTACCGTGGTGATCGTGGACAGAACATGTTCTAGTGGGCAGACCCTTCTTTGGGTGTCTGACGCACGGCCAGTCAAACACCGGCGGAGAGTCACCGTCCGCTCTCTTGGCACTCCGCAGCGGAGACTCTGTGACGCCCACCTCCATGCTGTCCATCCTCCCCACATAGACCCCTCTGGAGCTGGGGGAGCCAGCTGAGTGAGTCCCTGTAGCTCTCTGGTGCTTGGGGCTGCCTGCTGCTGCATTCTCCTTCTCATCCCCCATGATCTTACTGAACATACTGATAGGTTTACTGAACATTGGCTCCTGCATGGCCTCTGAGAACTTCCGCTTTGTGTCCTCCAGCTCCATCTTGAAGAAGCCCGCCTTGGTGCCCTCGGACGGGGATAGAGCGATGGGCGAGGGTGGGGCGGTACGGGAGTCTCCGTCACTCCTTCCCTTAGGCTGAGTCAGGTTCTTCCACTGCAGGTGCAGGTTGAGGCGGGAGTCAGACTTGGACTGGGACACCTCTGGCTCTGAGCGGGAGATCTCAGTAGAGATGGACTTGACTAGGCTGAGGAAGGGCCTGGGTCTGAGGGATGAGCCATGAGGGAGCTCCAGCTCTGTGGACAGGGACTTGACCAGGCTAGCCAGGGGCCGGTGGGTGGGGGTGGCTGGGCTGGGGGAGAGGAAGCTGGGGGCTGAGTTGGAGCAGTCCCCCAGGGACCCAGGGGAGGAGGGGGAGAGGGGTACGTGGAAGGCTGGGGAGTGCAGGCAGTGTTGGTTCTCCTCTTCCATGGAGTTCTGTCTCTCCTTGGAGAGGGAGATGTAGGGGGTCTGGTCGTCATAGTTGTGTTCCAGGGGGAAGATGAGCTCGTTGTCATCCAGACTGTCCCACTCACCCTCTGTGCCTGTTAGCTGGATCACGATGCCCCTCCTGAGCTCGCCATGGTGGGCCCCGACTGGGGGAGCAGGAGAGGGAAAGCGGGCCGGGCTCTGGGGGTCATGGGGTGGCCTTAGACCTCCCACTCCACCACCTCCTCCTTCTCTTCCTCTTGCCATATTTTCTCCTATCTCTGCCATTTCTTATCTTTACATTGTAGACCCGAGGCACCTAGGAGTCAACAAAAGAAAGAATAACCCAGTCAGCTACTGTTCATGATTAAGTCCCAGGAGAAAGGGAGAAGAGAAAGAGAGAGAGCTTCCTTTCATATGTTTATGCCTCATTTTCATCGTTAGCATTCATTTCAGTATTTATGCAAAGAGGTATGAATGTAGCTTGACAAGCAAGGGGAAATGACTTAATTTAAAATGTCTGTGTTGACGTCTGCCTGCATCTGAATTAGGCCCCCGATAACAACCTCTCCGTCTCCCCCTGCTGTCGCTTCACATTTGTGTGTGTGTGTGTGCTTGGAAAGTAGGGCCTATACAGAAATAGATAAGAGAGTTTCCTCCCTAAATGTACTTTAAAGTAGGGCAGAGCACTGGGCTTAAATCCAATACTGTACTTTGGGGGCCTGTTGCTCCAAATACCATGCAGATTTGGGGTGGAAGAAGTACTGATTAAAATGTTAGATTACACTCATTCACAAGGCTATACTAATATAATAATAATTTCATGTATATGAACTTACAGGGAAAATACTAGTTTTTCATATAAGCTTTATGTAAACACTGCTTGTAGAGGTATTGACCTATCACATCATACAGTAAGCTTCTATGCACTTCAGCTCTGACCAAGCGTATGATTGGCGGTATATTATACACACTCTTCTGCATTGTTGCCATGCAACCAAGGGAATTTTAGATTCTCCGAAGCTCACTCTAAACCTCAATCAAGGCACTTCAGATTTCACCCTCAGAGAAAAAAATATGTACTGAATGTGTCTCTCATACTTATCCTTCTAAGAGACATCAGTTGGTCTTACTCTTAGCCCTGCCGTCAGAACCCAGAGCAGCCCAGAGCAGCCCGCCAACATGATCTGATGGCTGCTTCAGCAGCTTAAAGAGCAGCTTACGTAATACTAAGATGAATGGTAACGGTAGTCAGCGATGCTTTCAATCACCTCCTCCGGGCAGCCATTTTGACAGCCTGTATGTTAACATCTATTCTACACCATGGTACTAAAGAGCTGAATGGCAGGATTGGCAGTAGGCCTGGCTATAACATTATATATAGCCATTAAAGGCAGCTAGTAGTCCAAGTCAGTCCAAGAAAATAGCATTTGTAGATCAGTGGACAGGAGGAAGATGATGATAAGGACCTTATGAGATACACTAAAGTGCATTCGGAAAGTATTCAGACCCCTTGACTTTTTCCACATTTTGTAAAGTTTTTTTCCCTCATCAATCTACACACAATACCCCATAATGACAAAGCAAAAACAGGATTTTAGAATCTTTGCAAATTTATATAACCCCCCCCCCCCCCCCCCCCCCGGAAATATCACATTTAAGTAAGTATTCAGACCCTTTACTCAATACTTTGTTGAAGCACCTTTGGCAGCTATTACAGCCTTGATTCTTTTTGGGTATGACGCTACAAGCTTGGCACACCTGTATTTGGGGAGTTTCTCCCATTCTTCTCTGCAGATCTTCTCAAGATGTGTCAAGTTGGATGGGGAGCGTCGCTGCACAGCTATTTTCAGATCTCTCTAGAGATGTTTGATCGAGTTCAAGTACGTGCTCTGGTTGGGCCACTCAAGGACATTCAGAGACTTGTCTCGAAGCCACTCCTGCATTGTCTTGGCTGTGTGCTTAGGGTCGTTGTCCTGATGGAAGGTGAACTTTAGCCCCAGTCTGAGGTCCTGAGCGCTCTGGAGCAGGTTTTCATCAAGGATCTCTCTGTACTTTGCTCCGTTCATCATTCCCTCAATCCTGACTAGTCTCCTAGTCCCTGCCACTGAAAAACATCCCCACAGCATGATGCTGCTACCACCATGCTTCACCGTAGGGATGGTGCCAGGTTTCCTCCAGACGTGACGCTTGGCATTCAGGCCAAATAGTTCAATCTTGGTTTCATCAGACCAGAGAATCTTGTTTCTCATGGTCTGAGAGTCCTTTAGGTGCCTTTTGGCAAAATACAAGTGGGCTGTCATGTGCCTTTTACTGAGAAGTGGCTTTAGGCTGGCGGACAGGGTTTGACGAATATGGGTTTGCGGATGCCAGGAGAACGCTACCTGCCCGAATTCATAGTGTCAACTGTAAGGTTTGGTGGAGGAGGAATAATGGTTTGGGGCTGTTTTTCATGGTTAGGGCTAGGCCCCTTAGTTCCAGTGAAGATACATCTTAACGCTAAAGTCTACAATGACATTCTAGAGGATTCTGTGCTTCCAACTTTGTGGCAACAGTTTGGGGAAGGCCCGTGCACAAAGCGAGGTCCATACAGAAATTGTTTATCGAGATCGGTGTGGAAGAACTTAACTGGCCTGCACAGAGCCCTAACCTCAACCCCATTGAACACTTTTGGGATGAATTGGAATGACGACTGGGAGCAAGGCCTAATCGCCAAACATCAGTGCCCGACCTCACTAATGCTCTTGTGGCTGAATGGAAGCAAGTCCCCGCGGCAATGTTCCAACATCTAGTGGAAAGCCTTTCCAGAAGAGTGGCGGCTGTTATAGCAGCAAAGGGGGGACCAACTCCATATTAATGGCCATGATTTTGGAATGAGATGTTCGACGAGCAGGTGTCCACATACTTTTGGTCATGTAATGTGTATATATAGGGAATAGGATACAATTCCAGATGCTGACTGGGTCAATTGCTCTGTGAGTTAAACTCCACCATCTGTGGTTGGTTATGTAACTGCATTATGTAGCTATGGCACAAATTCTACAGCAGCTTGCGGCAGATTCTCTGTAATCCCTTCAGCCAAAATGGACTGGAGAGCTATCAGCTATTAGAGTCACAGAGTCATAGACAGCATCAGACATGCCTCCCAGCCTGGGGATAGGGGGATAGAAGGCAAATGCTGCAGGGTAAATGGGTGCCCAGTGCATTTACATGAATAGTAGAAATATACACAGGTGCATGAGTGCACACACACAAACACACACACACGCGCTCTGCAGACGGTCATACTATCAACAAACTATCTGTTGATAAGCAACTGCTTGCTAAGGTTACAGTTAGGGTTAGGTTTAGAATAAGGGTTAGGGTAAGGGTTAAGTTTAGGGTTATGGCTAGGATTACGTTAAGGGTTAAGTTTAGGGTTAGGATAAGGGTTAAGTGTAGGGTTAGGGCTAGGGCTAGGGCTAGGGTTAGGGCTAGGGCTAGGGTTAGTAGATAGTTAGTTGAAATGTTACTGATAGTCTGTAGAGCATCTACAGATGGACTATCCAAATAAAGTGTTACCACATATTCTGAGAATAAAGCCCTTTCCTCAATCTGTAGTAATCCATGGCCTAAACCAGTGGCAGCGCTGTACTGTCACATGGAATCCTATTTCCTTTAGAGTGCACTAGTTTTGACCAGGGCCCATACAGTGCCTTCAGAAAGTATTCACACCCCTTCGCCCCTTTTCCACATTTTGTTGTGTTACAAAGTGGGATAAAAAATTATCAATGTCATTTTTTGTCAACAATCTACACAAAATACTCTAATGTCAAAGTGGAAGAAAAATTCAAACATTTGTAATAAAATTAAAATAAAACACTAATATATCTTGATTAGAAAATTATTCAACCACATGAGTCAATACATGTTAGAATCACCTTTGGCAGTGATTACAGCTGTGAGTCTTTTTGGGTAAGTCTCTAAGAGATTTGCACACACCTAGATTGAACAATATTTGCACATTATTCGTTTAAAAAAAATTCAAGCTCTGTCACGTTGGTTGTTGATCATTGCTAGACAGCCATTTTCAAGTCTTGCCATAGATTTTCAAGCCGATGTTAAGACAAAACTGTAACTAGGCTACTCAGGAACATTAATTGTCGTCTTGGGAAGTAATTCCAGAGTATACAGTGCATTCGGAAAGTATTCAGACCCCTTGACTTTTTCCACATTTTGTTACGTTACAGCCTTATTCTAAAATTGATGAAATCATCAATCTCCACACAATACCCCATAATGACAAAGCAAAAACAGGTTTTTATAAAGTTTAGCGAAATATCACATTTACATAAGTATTCAGACACTTAGTACTTTGTTAAAGCACCTTTGGCAGCGATTACTGCTTCGAGTCTTCTTGGGTATGACGCTACATGCTTGGCACACCTGTATTTGGGGAGTTTCTCCCATTGTTCTCTGCAGATCCTCTCAAGCTCTGTCAGGTTGGATGGGGAGCGTCGCTGCACAAGTATTTTCAGGTCTCTCCAGAGATGTTCGATCGGGTTCAAGTCCGGGCTCTGGCTGGGCCACTCAAGGACATTCAGAGACTTGTCCCACTCCTGCTTAGGGTCGTTGTCCTGTTGGAAGGTGAACCTTTGCCCCAGAATGAGGTCCTGAGGGCTCTGGAGCAGGTTATCATCAAGGATCTCTCTGTACTTTGCTCCGTTCATCTTTCCCTCGATCCTGACTAGTCTCCCACTCTCTGCCACAGAAAAACATGCCCACAGCATGATTCTGCCACCACCATGCTTCACCGTAGGGATGGTGCCAGGTTTCCTCCAGACGTGATACTTGGCATTCATGCCAAAGAGTTCAATCTTGGTTTCATCAGACCAGAGAATCTTGTTTCTCATGGTCTGAGAGACTTTAGGTGCCTTTTGGCAAACTCCAAGCGGGCTGTCATGTGCCTTCTACTGAGAAGTGGCTTCCCACTCTACCATAAAGGCCTGATTGGTGGAGTGCTGCAGAGATGGTTGTCATTCTGAAAGGTTCTCCCAACTCCACAGAGGAACTCTGGAGCTCTGTCAGCATGACCATCGGGTTCTTGGTCACCTCCCTGACCAAGGCCCTTCTCCCCCGATTTCTCAGTTTGGTCGGGCGGCCAGCTCTAGGAAGAGTCTTGGTGGTTCTAAACTTCTTCCATTTAAGAATGATGGAGGCCACTGTGTTCTTGGGGACCTTCAATGCTACAGAAATGTGTTGGTACCCTTCCCCAGATCTGTGCCTCGACACAATCCTGTCTCAGAGCT